TCATAAAATGTTTTCATACACCCAAAGACTGTTTTTATGCCTACCAAGTCAACCGACACAAAGTGCTAAATAACAGCAATCGGTTGTAATAATACCTCACAGAAAAGCTGGCATGTTCATGGTAAGTCAGTGTAAAATCACGACGCCGCAACACCGCCTCGCAACGATGAAAATTGATAGTGTCGGATTATCTGCGCCTTCTATCAACAGCTATCGTGCGTAAAAAGCTTCAAATAAGGGTAAAAATGCAGCTTTGGGGGTATTTATAATGATATAGGGTAATGTTTTCGGTTCTGGCGACAGCTGAGAAGTTGTAATAATATAAAGTATAAGTAGGGGGAAGGCAAACATCTATTGATATTATTCCTTTAGGTTTAGCAGAATAAAGAAATTCACTTCTAGCACAGAATAATAATAAGTACTACGTACAGAAGTTTTACTTCGCGAAGGTATTTAAAAAATGTATGCTCAATGTCATTAACAATATGGTGTAATTTAGCCTGTCTCAAGAGTCAAGCACCATTTTGTTGACAAACGCCAGTGATCGGCACTGCGCCGAAGCTATAGGGCTGACTTCGGTAAAATGGTGTGACAGGAGGTGCCAAACCGCGGAAAATGGCGGAGGAAATTGTACATGATTTAGCATGAATTATCATGAATAGGTAATATTAACTACTTATTTACCTCTCAGTGTCTTGAGGCAACTTAAAAAAGTACATTCTGTGTTTTTATTATTATTTAGGCAGTTAAATACTGCACAGTATTTAGTATACCATTTTCTTTATTTTCTTCCATCTCATACACAACAATACGCGTGCGTGAGTCAATGTTCGCTCGTATGTGAGGCCTTGTCGAATAGTATCCTGTAGGTGGGCCATCGTGCGTGTTTTGTTTTCGATGTAAACTCGCGGAGATGAACAGGCCTGCTTCTAGTTCGATTAGATTTTTTCTGCATAAAAATGCCACGAAATTGGTAGGAAAAAAGAAACATTTGATTTTCAAAAAAAGAACGTCACGTATTTGAAAATGGAAAACTGTTTCATAATAAAGAAAAACCACGAGATTGATTTTCAAAAAAAGAACGTCGCGTATTTGAAAGTAGAAAAACCATTTCATTTTGAATAAAGAATACGCCACTTTAAAAATGTAAAAAAGTATTCACTCGTCTGACACAGGTTTAGCTGGAACTCCACAGAGCTTGATATACCGCTGGACACTAAGCCCGATGTGCGCGCCTGAACACAAACCTTGCCCGACTGACAGTACTCGTAAAGAGAGGAATTAATTGCTGCTACGCGGAACGGCATCGATTTAAGCTTTACGCGTCCGGGCCTGTACCTTTGAAATGAAATTTAGTTTTGCCGCTGTTTGTGCGAGAGCGCCTAACGCTGTTTACATACCAATGAATTAGAACTATAAAAAAGGAGGTGCTTTTCTTATTTGCTGTTCGATTTTTCCTCCTCATCACCTTGACCTTTAGCTTTTAGGTAGATTTTAGGCATTTAAGTACGGTATTTACTACTTAAGTCTTTGTGACTGTTTTAGTAACCTATTGTCCTCAGAACAAAGAACACTGTTATTGACAGAAATAAACAAAACTTTTTAGTGTAAGCAACAATATTTCGGAGTTAATGGATTCCGCTGGCACCGATACATTTTCTTAATTTAGGCACATAATGGTCTACCAGGTTTTCCATTATTAGGTCTTAGCAATCACACTTTACACGCCCTAGTTACCACAGAATAGTCCTAAACTGTAGCCTATACATACAAAATACGTAATTATTTTTATCTACTGGCTTTATTACGGCCTAAAATGTAAAATGAATAACTTTTTATATACTTTTCGACGGTCGCCGGAAAGGTCCGCGCGTGTCTCTGGCGGTTGAATGTAAGCGTTATTCTTAAGGTTCGGCCAAACCAACGCGATCAACCGGCGTGCAGCGATGGCGATCAATGCATTTAGGTCTGGTCGCCATCGCTGCACGCTGGCTGATCGCGGTGTGATCGCGTTGGTTTGTCCGAACCCTTAAACGACTCTTGAAAAGGCCCATTTATTCGAGGTCTGCTTCGACCCGTCGGTTATGTATGTAGTATCATAGTGAAAAGAGTTTAAAGTAAAACATTTCAACCTATTTCTGGACTTTACGTAAACGATTTCGTGAATCAAAACATATTTAAAGTAACATTGTCCTTTCTGTCATTTGTCAATTGAGTTTTTTACTAAAAGGTGCTATATAAAGGTTCAAAAATACTTGTCTATTAAACGACATGGATTCATGAATGAGTTGCGTCTTTTTTGAACATTGTAACACGACGAAAACAATGATTAGCCGACCTTATGTTTCTTATTTGAAAAGAAAGATATTCGGCTCTTGTTTGTACACACCCGTTTCTTAGCGTCATAAATATTTCTCACTTTTCATTTTTACTATGGCAACATGAACAGCGACTCCGCAACAGAACCGATCACATTTTTGAACGGTTTATATCTCATTTCACGGTACGACAGCTAGCGCCGAAAGCGGTTCTTTAGCCTCCAGTGCTGGCATTGGGAAAACCAATTTCTACCGGTAGCCGTTCGTGTGATACTAAGTCGATTGAACGTCAAACGAATTTCCCCCTTCAGAAATCTCATATCTACATAACTGCGCAGATAATCGCGTGCGTATTTTTACACCCGCGATATTATGGTTATTATGGTGTTTGTACGTACGGTATAAGTCCGTCTGTTCCTTTTATTGCCCCGACACGGGTATTTTTGTAATAAGCTGCTATATAAGATTCTTATTCAGTCTATTTTAGTACCTATTTATGCCTAAGAGCGTCATACCAGTCATGTAACAGGTGTAAGGGACAGAGATATCAATCTAAGTAGCAATGCTGGATAAGTATATGGCGTAGGATAATTTAGCACCACAACTTTAGTATTAATACTCACGATCTTTAACCTAAAACAACAGGAGTAGACAACCTACATATTGCTATTTCGGAATTCTTGGTTATTTCAGACTCGTAAAGTTCTGTGTTCTTCCGTCTTGTGAGAGCTGGAAATGTACACATAAGAATAATTATTTTACATGGAATTCTTGTGGAAACTATGTTTCAGCATAGCTACAATGTCTACTGTGTACTTGTAATGTACCGTCATTGTTTATTATAGATCCTGCCTATTGTTAACATACATGGTCATATCTAATATAGGAACGCCAACTCGCATTGTTTCATTCATCAATGACATGTCAAAGTTAAAATTAGATGGTGCAAATCAGCCTCAGTATTTGTTACTTTGTGAAACTATTTAGTGCTGACCAGCCGTAATTGATACTAGTTAACGATTTGTAACCTTTGACTGTAGATAATGTAACACAATTTGTTTTCACAATTGCCTACAGTAATGTCGTAAAGTGACTAAACAAGTCTATCATCCTATTTTGTTACGAGACGAAATTGAAATACTTTGATTTATCAGTATGAGTAAAAGAGTTTTTTTTTAATGCAAGACAAGGCAGGTAACTATTTGACCGCAATCGTACTTGGTGTTAAGTAAGACGCAGTCTAGATGGTACATATCTGCCCTGTAAGTACCTATTCACTCTCGCTTTGAAAATGCCTGGATTACGTTTTCAGGAAAGACAGCAGCAGCAGCGAATTCAATTGCAGGCTGTTTTTCAACTTAGGTGTAGGTAGGTATGACTGTAATGTATTAACGTTTCTACATGAGCTATATACGTAACTTCGCCCCAAGGGATACGAGCTCAATGTTCCACTGCTTGCTGGGATGGAATCCATCTATTAAATATACTGAAAATGATAGGTTGATACGAGTATGCCTATGAATACACGAGTTGAAGTTTGTCTAGCACGTTATTTGAGTTGGTTTCGAACGTGAATATGATAACACAAATTGGGAACTAAGAAAACTTTAGTTGTTTACTTTACAACTGTTTGATACAGTTATTTAAATTTATAAACATGGTGACAGTATTTAATTAGGGGTTTCAGTAATTAGGTATTTAATAATAATAATAAATACTCTTTATTGCACACCAAAGAACAGAACAGAAAGAAAAGGAACACACAAGATATAACTAGGCGGTCTTATCGCTATGAAGCGAGCTCTTCCAGATAAATTTAGAAACAAATAATAAAAAAATTGAACCAATTACGTGTCACACCACTTATTTATTAAACCATGTGTACTTAAGTATCTACTAACAAAACTCGATTGTCAACTGTAGTATATACCTAATCTATANCAACATATCCAAACAGTTGGCTTTACAAGAAATTGATGAAACATTAAAACTCCACGGAAAGAGACTAACAGATTTCGGACTTCCGGAGCCAGATATTGATGAAAATAGTATTTTCTTATCTGATCCCGTTTCTGACTATTAATAAGAGTTATTTACATAACCTATATTAACGATTGATATTGATTGTTTTGTTAATTTGTCTTAGTTTATTTTGAATGTTGATTTAAAATAAAAATAATTTGTGTAAAATCATTTGTCGTTTTTATTTACCATATTTATTAAACACAACTAACGAAGCTATATGAATCTATATTTAATATTCTTTGAGAACCGATGACTACAGAAACATCTATCTACATGTTGCACCTATAATTGTGTAATATGAGTCAAATTGCACCCGAGCGAAGCCGGGTTTTCATCTAGTAAATAAATAAAATAAAATAAAACCAAATTTTTTTTGTGTAATGAACAGTTCAAGCCTCTTATATCATGCAAATTTTTACAATTCCGTAGATTTACCCTTTAGAATGCGAAAACGAGTGGTTGTGGGTTGTTTGCATCAGGAAGCTTCCCTCTACTCTCACTTGGTCATCGGACTCATCGGCGTATTTTTTTCGTTGCTACTCAGTAACTTTTCTTGTCTAACAGTTGTCAGTTCTGATAGCAGCCTTGGTCACAGCCCTTTCCACCTGTACATTTTTTAATTATTACTTTTGTCTCCAGATTAAAACTGCTGGGTGCTAGCGGCGAGGCGCCTCTCCTAGGCGGCTGGCGAAGTACGCCGCACACGCCGCATGCACCTGCAACACCGGCGCCGCACCACTCACACAACCACCTCGCTCCTCCGCATTGCAACGGCACTGACAGGTGAGGCATACTATTGTGAGAAAATATTAGATGTAAGAATCAAATTATCGCTGTGAGCTAGCTACAAGGCGTCGTTGGTGGCAGGCGAAGTACGCCGCTCACACTTCTACAACCACCTCGCTTCTCCGCATTGCAACGGCACTGACAGGTAGGTTACACTAGTGTACACATAAGGTACAGCATAAGGTTAAGACTGGGAGCTAGCTATAAGGAGCCCCTCCTCGGTGGTGGTAGGTTAAGTATGCCGAGGAGAGACGCTATGTTACTTATAAAGAAATGTTCACATAAGTTAGCTGGCGAATCTCGTCATATGCGCCTATAACACCGGCGCCGCACCACTCACACAACCACCTCGCTCCTCTGCATTGCAACGGCACTGACAGGTATGACACACTAATGTACACATAAGGTACAGCATAAGGTTAAGACTGGGAGCTAGCTATAAGGCGCCCCTCCTCGGTGGCGGGCAGGCTAAGTACGCCGAGGAGGGACGCGCCGGCGGCGCACCACTCTCACAACCACGTACCTCGCTCCTCCGCATAGTTACGTCATCGATAGGTATGACACACTATAGTGTACATAAGGCACACTATTGTAGGAATACATTAGGTTTAAGAATCAGATTATCACTGGAAGCTAGCTACAAGGCGTTGCTGGTGGCAGTATGAAGCACGCCGCAACGGCACTGACAGGTATAGTGGCACACTATTGTACATGGGTAAGTCAAAACGTTAGGTTAGAAGTTAGCTGCCGCTGGGTACCAGCAGCGAGGGCCGAGGCGCCTCTTCTATCTGCTGGCGAAGCACGCCACGTGAACGCGGTACTAAAACTGGCGCCGTCCCATTAATATTCAATAACATCTCACACTACATCATTACAGCGATACTGTGACACATGTTGTGCATATAAGCAGCTGCGTAAGATTATCACTGGAAGCTAGCAAAGAAGTGCTCCTGTCTACTGGCAAAGCATGTCTACTACATACACAGCATTAACTCAATTACTGAGCTGAATAATGGGCATATGCTCTTGTGTGTGTAACTGACTGCTCTTTACACAAACTGAGTTTGACACATCTATTTCCTAGGTGCCTTCTCTATCGCCTTAGGCACCACAAGCTTAACTAGGTGTCTAAATAGCCTCATGATATTCTCTAATCTGTGTTCGCTATCATAATCTGTGAGCCGATATAGTTCAGAGTTCTGAGGTTAGTTAGTCTTGGGAGTTATAGTCGGTATTAACGTTATTGTTGAGCTACACAACTAATAGTGTCGAACCTGCCAACACCTGCACTACTTGCACGGCCACAGTATCGTAAACCTGTATAGTTCAAGCCAAATTAACACGATGACGCTTGTTATTGGAATATGCTGTTACTTGTTAGGTATGTCGCCATAACAACAATGTTAACAGCATTGTTATGTTCCGGCAGTTAGAGGTAAGATAGCCAGTTCTTCCGTGGTTGAGGATTCCGGGCGAAGCTCGCTTCCACCTTCGGCTTGATCATCACTTAACATCAGATGAGATACAGGCCAAGAGCTTCCACGTTGTGGATAAAAATTGTAATTCGCTTGTAGAATTTGCTGCAAGTCTGTTTAAAGTTATTTTGATCATTAAAATAAAAATAATAGAAAACTTACTAGAATGATAGAAAGTATTATAATAGTAGGTACTAAGCAAGCATTTGATATTATTACATTAAATTACACGTTGTAATATATTATATTCTTCACTTTAATATTAAGCTAGAAATATCATGCACTAGCCGACCTGACGAATTTCGTACTGCCAATCTTTATTACAAATAATTTATGGTTAAATATTTTTTTTAAATGTTCCAGTAATTTTGGAGCCTAGGTATTCAATGCAACACAAACAATTAAATCTTCCTTCTTTCTAAATTAGTGTAATAAAATACTGAGTCTGATAAATACTTCAGGCTTCATTTAACTCAAGATTCGCTCGAGTTGGTACGAAAAACACGATTTATTTTCCTATTACAATGATATTGGTTATGATAACCCCAGGGTCCACCTCATAAGCGACAGTTATAATTGCGCACGATCCAGTTAATATACAGTTCCTTGCGTATCTGCAGACGTAGGACCGGAACCAGTGATGTAACGATTAGTCATCGACTACTTTTGTAGTCGATGTATATTTAGCATTCTTGATCGACTGTACCTGTAAACAGTGTCAATTAGGACAGTATTGGTTTTGTCAGCTTCAGAATCATGGATAACTTCAAATTAATATTGATAGTTATACCCAGAGAGTTCTGGCGTCGTAATAGGTATTTAATATTTATTTCCGTAAATGACATTTAACAGGAATTAATTAGAATCGAAATTATTATTTGCTAATTATTAATTTGCTTACTTAGTGTTGAATTGTTTTAGTGTTCATATACGTAGCACGATAACTTATTTAAAAATGTAATGTGTTTCTTTAATTGGCTTATGTTCAAGTTGTATCTTCCTGCACATTTATGTACCTACAATTTAATGCTGTTGAAACATTGTTAAACAAATATAATAAAATAAATAAAATAAATTCAGATTTTCGATCTGTGCACCTACCATGAGTTTACGTAAGGTGTGCTCGCTAGCGAGTACGTCAAAAATCTCTATGAAGATTTTGTTTCTTGAAAGTAGCCGCTAGGGGCGCTGCACAATATGTCATACAATTAATGTCATTTTTTTACGTAGTCGCTAGCGAGCACACCTAACGTAAACTCATGGTAAGCACACTGATGTAATTCATTTCCACCACCAGCTTGTAACGTTTGTGTAACTTCCCCATCACTTCAACGATAGAAATCGGCCAGCTCGTATATTTATTTAGTTGGTTAGTCGACCAATCACGAGGCGTCCCATCTCTAATTGTAACCAATTATCGACAGATATTGGCCACCTCTAATTTATTAGGGGCAGCGCAAACACGTAGCTTATCAGTTATGAGATAGTTAAACCACTATTGTATAACTTAACTTCTGTATCTACGTAATATTTTGGTTGTTTATGTTACCAAAAACACGCAATATACAAGAGTAAATTACCTACATGTATAGCATGTTGATACAATCTTTTCGTTCGTTCGTTCGTTTCAGCCAAATGACGTCCACTGCTGGACAAAGGCCTCCTCCAAGGCTTTCCACAATGCACGTAGAGACGATGGCCGTTGGGGCAGAAAAGTTCTCGAGTGGCGACCACGGGCTGGAAGACGTAGCGTGGGCAGGCCTCCTACTAGGTGGACCGACGATCTCGTAAAGGTCGCGGGAAGAGCCTGGATGCGGGCAGCGCAGGACAATCTTTTAATGCTACCTAAATCTGAAACTGATTGTGGTGCTTATGTGTTGAAAAAAATTTTTTTTAAATAATATAATTTATAGTTAGTACAGGTAACGTTTTTATCGTTCGCGTGTCTGTATCTAACAGATTAATGCCAAAACAAGAGGCAATTCCATACATAAACTGGTCACACTGCTCAATATTTCTTAAGCGCATCACGGTCCGTGAACGTGTTATGCACCGCACCTTAATCGACCCTAGGCCCATTGTCGGGCCACCGCAAACCGGTGCCAATACCAGATTCATTATCTTTGACATACGCAACATGAATATGGACTGCATATGGTACGTATTGTCTGGGTTAATTTGATGCTGTCCAGATGCATGCTTTGTATGCATTGAAATAATGTGTATTATATATTCCTGTGATGTTGGGAGAAGTTACTCAAATGATGGAGTATACAAAAGTGTATACCTACTTACAAAAAACAAACAATATAATACTTGAAATACAAATCAAAAACACTTTTGTCCTTTACAAACGTATGCGAAAGTTTGATGCCCATGTTTTTTTTACATCTAACATTTTATATTCAATTAAAATATTCTCCAAACTAAAATCTTCTTACTATCCTTTTATAAGACTGAATATTCATAATGATTTTCTTGCTGAAAATGCGCATACCACTACTCCATTTCCCTTCTAAGAAGTCAACGCGTTTCAAAGAGAAACTTCGTGGCTTCTTAATTAGATACATTCCTGCCGAATAGATTCCGTTTTTAGAAGTTGCCTTTGAGTTTAAAACTAACCTCAGCTACGGCAATGAGCTCGCTACATTTGCTACGCCGTAGCGAAACTCGTAGCGGGCGTAACGGTTCGTAGCAGATTAGTACGCATCGTAGCAAAGTTTCTGCAGTGTGAAAGAGCATAATATTAAATTTTAAATTCTTTTTCTTTCAGCGTTGCTTGAATATTTAAGCTTGAAATTTTCAGATAACATAACACTTTACAGCTTTCTCACCTAATAGATTTAATCTCGTTATTCAGTAGTCCGTTATACAGGGTGGGATTTTGTAATGCCACCTGGAGGGAAAGTAAAAATGTAATAATAATAATAATGTAGATAAAAAATTTTAATCAAAGAAATCACTACTTTATTTTTGAAAAGAAAGAGAAATGCATTCAATGATAGTTTTATTACTGACGGGACTGCTACCGTGTACCTTAATTTTGAGTTTCCGATATTTTGACACTGTTGCAAGCGCCATGGTCACGGCATAATTATAATAGGGACCATGAAAGTTTAAAAAAATATATCAATCAATGATTCACAATTTTTTTTCGAAAATTCACCACCATTCCATTCAATCTGTAATTAAAATAATTTGAGATTTCATGGTTTTCATTTTATTTGATTTATCAAGTTTATTAGAGACATTTCATCCTTATACATAAAAATAACAATCGATGCAATAAAATACAAGATGTAATTTGTCACATATTTTATTTGGTTCAATTCCCGGGAGTGGCAAGCTAATTTTTGGAAATCTTTGCATGCAGTTCTATTTCTTTAAAAAAAGGAATGTTTCCTTTCTACAGCATTAAGATTACTTTCCCTCCAGGTGGCATTACAAAATTCCACCCTGTATATAAAGTACCGTGTTTATCAAGTCTTCAAATGCAATTTGGTTTTCGCAGTTAAGATTAATTTGCTATGCGGTGTGCGGTAACCATCAGAAGCGAGGCAACCTCGAACAGAGTTAAGTCTAAACAATCAACTAGAGCAAACACTGGCCTACATATCTCGTGTCTATCTATTGCTGGGTATCCAGCCCGTAGAAGAACGTTTCCATTTGCTCATTTTGACGATAAAAAATCGGCTGGCTCGTTTGAGTTTTGATTGAACTTTGGAACTCTCTGATTATGGTGTACTAGCTTTTGTATACGCGTGTTTAGTTTGTCACAGATCGTCATAAATTATAGCCTATATGTTATTCTGGGTTATAAACTATAATACTGTAAAGTTTCATCAAAATCCGTTTAGTAGTTTTTGCGTGAAAGAGTAACAAACATCCAACTTTCGCATTTATATTATTAGTAGGATATGAATTTGTGCGATGTTGAACGATAAATTATGATTAAATTAAAAACGGAGTTGTATGAAATTGATTAGATAGTCATGTTATTTTTCGCAAACACTATAGTTGCGTGCATCAGATAATCGGAGTGTCTTTCCAAAATGCTCACAGGCTTCTCTTGGTTCTTCGTTTCAACCTAATTTCGTCCACTACCAGACAAAGGCCTTTAGTGTGAACTTGAATGATTAGGCAAGTTCATATTATTTCAAATCATCAATTTAGAGTTCCTGTTATGTAAAAATCTAGCTTGTTGCCATGAAATTACGAACTAATTATTCCACTTGATCTTTATCGCAAAATCTGCCGGTATTTTCCCGTACCTTATCGGGTCAGTGAAAACAGGCCGTCCCTATGTACATACTCGTGTTGTGTAAACGCAGGAAATGTTGTTAGCTTAGGTATTAACCCGCCAGGAGGCGCCGTAAGTGGTTTCAACTAATGTGCCTAGTCAATGCTTTAGGCGTCACCTAAGAGTGGATTTTGAATGATACGAGTATATCGATAAGCAATTTAAGCGTTTTGATTTAGTGATTGATTTTAATGGTGTTTTGATTCTTAAAAGCATGATAATACAAGCTTCAGCTTGGGATAATAAACGCTCGGGTTTTTTTCATGTGGTTGTAATATATTGGGTTTTGAAATAAAAAATACAGGATAGAGACGATAAGTGATCTCACTCGATTATTTCGAAACTATACACAAGATTTTGAAAAATTGGTTACTGATTCGAAAAGTGCTTCACGAGCTCTCTCAAACGGCATAAAACGGCTCTCTCTATCCTATTATACAGAATCAATTGGATTTATCCGAAAATTCAATGTTTCCAGCTTCCATACATTCAGTACATTCATAGTTTATGAACTAGCACTTAAGCTACTCTATTACTTTAGTAAACAATTTAAAGCTGCTACTACGTGTACACATAGGTATTTCATAATCATTATTTCCTCACCTTAATATCACTGGGTATCTATGTAATATTTAACTAATTTAGTGATTATAAGTCCTCTACTAGTGTGGTATTTAATTAGAATGTTTACTCTAGTATTACGTTAGTATTTGTATTAGGCTGTACTCGCAAGAACGTATCTAAAGTTAGAGGACTAAGCGGACCTATATTAGTAGATATTTCAGTTATTTTCTGTAAGCTTCTCTTTTCTTTATTTACAGTGACGTGCGGTGTGGACTTGACTTTGTAAAAAAGTGTCTTATTGATGATATTTTGCGTTTAAAATGTTAATAAGAAATGGTGTACTTAGACAAAGAATCGATGCTAGCAAATGCTCATAAAAATATACACGAGTATGAGTTATTTGCACAAAGAAGGCATTTGTTAATTAATATTCCTACGGAAGAATTCTCGGTTTGCATACTCAAAGCATTAACTCGCTCGTTTGGTCTAGAAATTCGTAGAATATTAGTGCAAATACATACTCGTAATATGAAAAAATAGGTAAATACGGTAAACGGGAAAGTACCCATACTGAAGACTGAGCGTGGGTGTCAGGCAATTCAATATTAGTTTGAAAATAGACTATTAATGTCTAATAATACTCTGAAATATTTGCTTAGATTGCTACGTTATGTTGTTACTTGCTATTTCTATTAACCTACCTATCATAGTGTAGTTCAACTGTTTTTTATCACGTGTCGTAAAAATAAAGTAGGCATGGTTATGCAATTTGAAATATCTTTCTAATATGAAAGAAGTTTTCAGTACATAATACTTAATGTTAAAACATAGGCATTTAGGTTATGTTCTTTAAGATCAAAATTTACTCCAAGATATGTTACATACCTAAACCTGTCTATTTGAAAAGTGTTTTTATTAATTTTATCTATTGTGTGGTGTGCATAGGTATAATAGCTTTGATTGTTTCGAGTCTAGATGGAGCTGTGTAAAAATGTATAGATCGTCATCATCATCAGTTCATAATTTATTATATTTCCACTGCAGGAGCACCGCTCTATTTTACCAAGGCAACTGGCGGGTTTAGTCTACAAACCCTAGAATATTTATTCTCTTATCCATTCTTCTCTTGTGTACTAAATGAGAAATTGACCCTGTAATTCGTGTTTAGTGGCAGCAAAGACGGTGTTCGATGGCGATCCACGTTTAAATATACATTCCAAGAATATAAATCTACTATATTGCTATTCTCGATTCTTCTCACGTATACTAAGTATAAGAAACCAAAAGATAAGGAGACATGTAAAGTGCCCCATAAGGGCTACCTTTTCTTTTTTTATTATTTACATTTTGACGATCATAAGTGCCACTTGTGGTCTAAACTGAATGAATATTTTTGATTTTGATTTTGAAAACTAACCCTGTATTTCTGTTCCAGTGGCAGCAGAGGCGGTCTCCGACGGCGGTCCACATACGCGAGCGGTCGGCTGCGCTCCGGCCCGCACTGGTCGTTCGTGTTCGACCCAGCTGGTCGGCTCTGCTATTACTGGTCGATGGTCGTGTCGCTAGCCTTCCTCTACAACCTCTGGGTCATCGTGTATAGGTTCGCCTTCCAAGAGATCAATGGTGAGTGTATTTACCCGACTGCACCAGAAGGAGGGTTATTTGTTATTTTTTGTCTGTGTTTTGCATGGTTAAGTTCAGATGAACGAATGATCTGAAGTTAGTTAAGTAGTTATGGCTGATAAGAATTTCAATTTTAATTGCATACAATTTTATGTTATCTTCGTTTAACTTATTGACATCGAGAGCTTGTCTGCATTTAGCATAATTTTTTTTACTCATCAACTGTTGTACGAGTATTTAAAATATTAGGGTTAATTTTCTAAGTTACATCAGCTTCTTTAGTGACATACTTAACTTTAAAAATCACATTAAGTATGTAGCTATCTACGGATCCTTCGCATTTCTACTATCATGTTTTTAGTAATATAATAATCCATAAGGATGAGCGAAGTCAAATGAATTCTGAGAAATCCTCTATGAATACCCAGCTCTTAGGAACTTTAAAATTCAACTGCAGTATTTTGTTTCCCACTAATGTCTATTTCAAAGTCAGTCAACTCAAAGCGGCCCGTATGTGCATTAGTCGTGCCACTAAACTGCGTCGACTAGTGAAGTCGTTGCTGGAAAAACAAAAACTATCGATTATTTATTCCTTTTCCAAAAATATCTGTATTCTACTATTATGTTAGGTTACACAAATATCGAATCTTCTTTCAATATAAGCATTCAATTCTTGATATTATATAGTTCACGAATTAAAGACAGGAAATAAATGTCGCGCTTTTAATTAAAAATATCAATTAGTGAGTAACTAATAAAGATATTGTCGTGTAAATATCTACGCATGACGTACCTACATCAAGTTAAACGCTCTTGCATCTTAAACAGTGGTTACAAGTGCAATTTATCAACAAAAGAACCATATTTGGCGAGTGTTTTGTGCAGTCACATCACTAGCTTTTCGATAGGCGACAGCAACGGTCTGTCACGGGCTTTTATATTTTGACTTTGTTTTGTACAGAGATAAAGTAGTTGATTGCGCTCGCCTATCAACGAGCAGTTTTATCGAGCGCTCTTCACAATATCGTCGATTCGCTCCGTTTCATTTTCACGTTTTACCTACAACACTTTTCTGTTAACTCAATTCAATACTTTTGATTGGGTTAAAAATATCCCGGAATATTTCCTCGAATCGGAGAGTTGAGAACTTTAATTCATGGAGTGGGAATTGATTTGATTTGATTTAATATTGTACTGATATTGAAGAGTTTGAGTTTATTGCCCTATCTGGAGGCTAGAGCACGGTGAACTTAATAAGAAATAAAATGATCTAATACAAAGATTACCGTGTTTACCCTATTTATTTATCTATTGCTTTTAGTTTTGTTGTCAGACAAAATAATAGTCTGGCTGCAAAGTGTAAAATACTTGTTACAATGTAAAAGTGAATAATATCGTCATCCAATATTAGCCGAATAAAACACACGTGATACGTATTCTTACTTTCTACATAGTTTAAAAGACACGAGCATCATTTCTGCAAAATCGCATTTATTAACAAGCAAGCAATCTTCTATTAATGTCATAAATATTCACTTTACAACTAAGCCAATGACACAAAACAGAGGTATTTTCGTAATCTAATTCTATGTATAATAGTCTAATCTAATAAAAATCTTCGTCACAAACGCAGTTTGAAATTATTTTTTCACTTTAGGACATCGGACGTCTCAATTTAAGATGGGCGGTTGGATCCGGCGTCCGAGACCCGACTTAGCGCACTCCTGCATAGTACCTCGAACTCCCGGGGGAATTAAATTACTTACCCAAATAGCTTCCCGGAGGTAGACGGCTAGCTTCATAGACAATGTTATACTTTGATAAGTGAGCCACTAATTTTAAGTGTTTGCAGCCCAGTTATTATTGGAAAAAGATTGAATTGGATTTTATAAAAAAATATTTTATACTTTGTTGCACGAATTAGGTTGTAAAAATGGTGGACTTAATGCCAATCGGTATTCTCTATTAGTAAACCATTGGTAACTCAAAATTATGAATGAAAAGAGTTACACTGAACCTATTCTCGTATTTCTGATATATGAGTATGAAACTTGTATTTATTTAACATATTCTCGTTTTAAAGTATATCTTTTTAAAGTGATTTAATTGATATTCGCCCTTAAATGCTGTTCGCAACATTTTATTCTTCAAAGCCAATAATTATTACAACCTCTTTTAAAAATTAAGATTAAATCTTTATTACATTATCTATTTTAAATAACAATCGATTTTGTCTGTGTACTAAAGTCCATAAATAAATCCCAAATTTATTTTTATGAAAACCTCAGTTATTTTTATTGTAAGTGCGTGATTGATTAGTATAATAGAGTATTTCCGTGTGAACTTGTGGCTTGTGCCTTGTGCCTTTATCTTACGATATTAATGATTTTTTTAATCTTTTCCCATTGTCTCACCCACCCAGCTGCGAGCTCCTCTGACGCAATCTCGTTCGCTTTCAAGTTCCCATTTTGCGTTCAAATTGATCATAATTCTTGGGAGTTAACTGAAAAACTTTTGATCAAAGTGAAACATTAATTCATTTACACCGTGTATTAATTAATTGGGAAACTACTACCTGTGACGTGTCTGCAATAGATTCGTGTGGTTTTGTTTGCCGTTCGTGAAATTAATTAGCAAATGTTTTGTGTGATTCGGTGTTTTAGTTTGAAGCTTTAGTGCGTATTTTAGATGACATGGTATTGAAATTTACAACGTATTTAATAAAATTTTAGGTCTTTTGGAAATTTTATAGGTGAAGGAACCTACAACTTATTCAGTTTACATTTTATTCGTTAAATAGAATGCTACCTGTGTCTTTATCGATAAAATATACTTTTTTTATTGCTCTAATCATACTTACTCCTAAGGCCCAAGAAAGCAATGCGATAAAGTTTCGTTTACATTTTTAACCCAAAGATTTAAATCGCTACACATTTTTAGCCAAGTCACATAACAAAATAAAATCCTGGCTTACGTTTACCCGCGCACAAAACTTTAAGTTTATTTCAGTGAATTTTCTAACAAACCGTATTTCCATTGTTTCAGGCGAGACGCTAATAGTGTGGTTCTGTCTGGACTACTTCTCGGATTTCCTCTATCTGGCGGACATCTTGTTCCACTTCCGAACGGGATACCTCGAGGACGGCGTCCTACAAACGGACGCGGCCAAGCTCCGGGCGCACTATATGAACTCCACGACCTTCTACATCGACTGCTTGTGTCTCCTGCCACTGGACTTCCTCTACCTCTCCATCGGGTTCAACTCCATACTACGCTCCTTTCGTCTCGTCAAGATCTACCGCTTCTGGGCATTCATGGACCGCACGGAACGACACACGAACTACCCAAACTTGTTTAGATCAACCAGTTTAATTCATTATTTATTAGTGATATTCCATTGGAACGGGTGCTTGTACCATATAATATATAAAAACAATGGGTTCGGTAGTAAAAACTGGGTGTATCATGACACTGAAACCGCGGACGTTGTGAAACAGTATCTACAGAGCTATTATTGGTGCACGTTGGCGCTCACGACGATAGGTGAGTCCTTTTGATATTTTCTTTTACAGTAGATTTTCTCGATTTGTAGTAGTGTAGTTTTCTAAGTTTGATTTAAGATAAAGGATATTGGATATTAGCAATGGAGCTGGCTTGCAGCGGTTATGTTGCGCCAATTGGAGGGGAAAAACCGCATGTTGGTTACGCTGGTCGGGTTTGAAAACGAAAGCACTAATCAATGCAGCTACGGTTTCAAATGCGGCACTGTGTTTTTTTTTAAAGTTCGTTAAAACTATTTTGATGACGTGACATTACTTTGGAGCCTTGAAAGCAATAGTGTTACTTAGATCAGGACATTTTTCTTAATAGCAGAAACTTGGAGTCTTCCCAGAAAAGACACTTTAATTCATGAATTTATTATTTAAAAACAATAATACATACCTAATACCTTACGATACTCGTCAAAAACATCACTTGAAAAGTAACCTACCACCATGAAATGCCCCTCCGTCGATTTTTCACCTTAAACTAAAACGTATGAAGTTTAAAATTGATTACCTGCTTAACAACATAGTTTTACAAATTTATTTACGAAGTATCTTGACTACTTGTGTTTGTCAAACCCTGCTATTGCAAATAACTTCCAGTTGTAGTATCTGCAATATAGTCCATAAATGTTTCGATCGCTTGATTCGCAGTATCGAAACAAGGGCTTTGATTCTTGCCCCTTGAATAGTCTTGTTGGATATTAATAGCATTTCTCGAACGTTACCGGGATCTATTTATTGGGTATTGAACTGGATCTGTCGCACGACTTGTCCAATTGCTGTTTCTGATATCGGTATTGTTGCTAAAGCCTGATAGACATTTCGAGAATAGCTATATATAGATACAGCTATATTATTCTCTAATAGTCATAAGTAGCTGATATAGTTACGTACCTACACATGATGTGTTGTTTTGGGCAATAATGTAAAGCATTTAACTTACAGTCTTCTAACTTCACTTCAATTTCAACATTGTCATCTCTATATTATGTGTTTCTTTATTGTGTAGGTATATTGAAATAGTTTATTATTTATAATATGTTATCTTTCCTAAGAGCTCCGCCAGGCGAATTTCTTCTGCTTAGCTCAAAGATTAAATGCCAGAGTGAGAGATTGCCTCATGGCATTAAATTGTGTTCGCCTTAGGTATGTGCCTCTAGGTACTCGTTAATGTATGTCATTGAGGATTAAACCAACAGTAAAACGATAGTTTACACACAAAAAGCGTGAAATCGGGTCATATTTAATCTCTATTCATGCCATTTAATATAAATCAATATAAACCGCAATACACATTGACTATTCATGAACTGAAAAATTGCCTCCTATTATTTTCCATTGACTTTGCTCCTAGTTACGAGGGCCGATAAATTCTGCATCAATAAATTCTGTTTTGAATACAAAATATTTATAATTCCGTCGCACCATTTCAGTAACTAAACCACAGTTAAATATTAAAATTATTTTTGTCTTCAAACCTAATAAAACTCATAAAAAAACTCATCAATTTTCATTTGTTTTGTCAGTCCATCATGCTGTCCACTCCAGATTTTTTTTAAATATTTCCCGCCAAAAAAACTGTTTAGATGTCATCAAAGCTGCCGTTTTTTTTCTACAGCGGCCTTTTGTTTTTTTTTTCATTAAGTTGCCAGTGTCTTATTAGGGTTCCGTACCTCAAAAGGAAAAAACGGAACCCTTATAGGATAACTTTGTTGACCGTCTGTCCGTCCGTCTGTCAAGACCCTTTTTCTCAGGAACGCGTGGAGGTATGAAGCTGAAATTTATATCAATTACTCAGGTCTACTGTCCCTTGAAGCTGTGAAAAAATCAAACTTCTAAGCCAACGCAATCAAAAGATACAGTCGTTTATGCCGCAAATTTTCGACACTTGCAAGGGAATCAAAACCTACAGGGTGCTTCCCGTGAACTCAGAATCTTGAAATTTGGTACGAAGCAACGTCTTATAGCATAGATAAAGGAAAAATTACGAAAACCATAAATTTTTAGTTACATCACATAATATATATTTTTTTTATAATTTTAAACTTACTACCCATTTCCTCATAAACGCGTAGAGGTATTAAATTGAAATTCATACCAAATACTCATAATACCTTTAAGCTGTAACAAAATCAAACTTCTATGTCAACGCAATCAAAAGAAACAGCAATTTAAGCTGCATATTTTGAAACTCGCAAGTACTCGCAAGGGAATCAAAACCTAAAGGGTACTTCCAGTCGACCTAGAATCTTGAAATTTGGCATGAAGCAACGTTTTATAGCACACATAAAGGAAAAATTCCGAAAACCTTAAATTTTTAGTTACATTACAAAATATATATTTTTTAATAAATATAAACTTATTACTTTTTTCCTCATGAACGCGTAGAGCTATCAAGTTGAAATTCATATCAAATACTTAGATCTAATTGCCTTTAACCCGTGAAAAAAAAAACATAGTTATGACTCGATTGTCGTAATGAACGAACTTTGTAAACCTTGCAGGGTTCTACGGAACCCTCGGTGCGCGAGTCCGACTCGCACTTGGCCGGTTTTTTTTTATTCCTTTTTCAAAAACGTCGTTGAACTCATAAACTTAGTACAGCTTATTTTTAAAGCAGAACCCATTTCTCATAGAGTACCATATTTTCTTTTGTGAAAAATGAATTGTTTGCTGACGCGTGTATGGCGTTAAATTAATACCTACGTAATACTCGTATCTGATATAAAGGAGTCGCTTTGGCTGTTCTCGTAAAGAATATGTCAAAATCAAGATTATCTAGGTACAACCAGCGTTTGCTTGACGTGATATTACTTAGACTAGCGTTTGCCTGCAACTTTGCCCATGGGAGCAGAGTGGGAAGACCATATCGTACCTATGTTTCCCATTAAAATTCGGGATAAAACAATCCTATTTTTTCTATTCGTAGTCTTATCAAACACCCAAATCGGTTTAGTGATTAAAGCTTGAAAAGGTGACAGACAGACAAGTTACTTTTGCCTATATAATATTAGTACGAAAGTACGGATTTATATGAGTTCCATGATATGAGGAGCATTAGCTTCAGTCTTATTGAAAACAAGCTAAGCCTGCAGCTCCGCTCGCGTAGATTTAGACGTCTAAAGATGATCGCGCACGCATCTCTAGGGAATCGTGCTTATTCTCAGCATATTCAAGGGACTTAGTAGCTAGTAGGTACTCTGCAAGAATAATGAAACTTTAGAGAAAGGGTTTTTATCTCTATATGTTATTAAATGGATATTAAATTGTGTACAGATTTTCATTATGATGCTGGGAAGTGTAAGGTTTCATGTTCCAATCGGTTAAAACTAGATATAAAAAAATATTAACGTCCAATTTAGCTCGCTATATCACGCAATATTATGCTTCTTCCAAGATCATTTAGATGTATTACGCTTCGTTTAAGTATAAGTACCGTGTTTAGTTATCAACCTACGGCGTCCATCACTTATTTGTAATGCCTTGCTAATATGCCTGCAATCAATTTCAAGTCATTTCCAAAACTTTGTCACTAGGTGTTACCTTTCTCAAAGGGTAATTAAGTTCCCTTCTCGTCTCAAGCAGCCCGAGTTTCACAATATTGCCAGCAAATAAGGACTTCACTCTGACGTCTGTGTCTTTCCCTCTTTACATAGCACTTTGCTAATATATCGTGGTATTTCAATAAAATTTTCATTATATGGTTTCTTTGAAACAGGTTTCAACCTTGCCTCAAGATTTTACCTGCTTTTATCAAAAATACTTTCTTAAAGTTAGGCAACAAGGATACAAGCGATAATGATATTACGTTTTTCACTGTGGTAATGATTGATTTTAAAGTATTTAAATCGCGTATTATTTCTCGAATGAATAATCTCTATGATCACTTAAAATTGTTATCAGCGTAAAAAAGGATTAATTTTATATTTAACCGACTACGCCAGAAAGAGGTTTATGTTTTTTTCTATAAACGCTTTTATCTCGTTCAATGGGTTCTCTTCAGAAGACATTGGACACTCGTCGCGCTGTATTTAATTCTACTTCAAACTATTTCCACCACAGTTGCAGTAAATTTATCTTATCATTTTAATTCCCCGTTAAATGCAGTTCCATAGAATGCAAAAAGATAAAACGGCGCTAGAAGCGTCTCGACTAGAGCATCGTCGAGTTGAGTGTCTACGTAGTACTTGTTTATCGACAACGTCGGTTACGGAGACCCGACCGGTCGAACTATCAGTCGACCGGTCGGCCGATAAATCGACCAACCGATCTATTTGCTTGGCCAGTGCCTGTTGGTCAATCAAATCAATCATTTCGTAGCGCCGTGGTAGTGAATTAACAGTATGTACTGAGGACAGATAATGTATAGTAATAGTGGCTTCGTTATGTACAGACGACAGCATATCATATTACTCTTAGGTATGTAGGTATAATTAATGGGTGGTATTTTGTAGTATGGTGGTAGTTTGTAGGTGGTGTTTTATAGATAAGTAGATCAGCTGATGCCAAATGAAAGATTTCGTTATGATAAATAGGCCTATTTATACTAACTTTAGACATCATTTTATTTATTTATTTATTTAGGTAAACTGGATGAGAATGCCTTATGGCATTAAGTTCGCCTGATGTTAATATTTTTGGCATTGAAGTATAAATAAATAAATAAATAAATAAATTTAAAAAGATACACCAACGACATATAACTTTATAAACAACAATAATTATAGTGTCGATTATCATTTGATTTTTACTTTGATTGTTACTAGTTTGAACAGTGTTATTGCTACTAGCTTGCTGTTTGATCCCAAACTAAACAAATAACACACTATAAAATATCCTTTATAAAATATTTTAGTCTAAACTTTTATTTTTGGCTGGGCATAAAATACCTAGCCCAGAACAAATAGAATTATTCATACAGAGGTTTGTAATGTGCGGTAATCGAACCCGCAAACTCTGACCTATTTAGCCGATTTCTCAACAGCTTAAAATCTG